CATTAGAAATAATGTAAATTGAATTAATCCGTTCCAGACCCCCAAGTGATTCCTCGTTTTAACCTTTCTTATATACAGTACATGTCTAGTGTACTGTTTATAAATACACACTTTAAAAACAAAAACGAGAAGATGGCGGCGTAGGTAACAGCTGTACCTGCCGCCTCCCTCAACCACATTAAAATTACAACTAAAATATAGAACAGTCGTTACTCAGAACCTCCTGAAATCTGGCTGAACAGAGGCCCTTCAACCAGGGAACTAAAGAAGCATCCAGATGGGTAGGAGGGGCAGAGATGCGGGCAGATCAGGGCTGAATTTCAGAGATGCAGCCGTAGGCCCACACCCGGTGCTGCGGGTTAAACCCCGGAGGGATATCTCAGGGATGGAGGTTTACTGGAGGAGTGAGGGGTCCCAGCCCCACAGCAGGCCCCCAGCCCAGGGCTCCAGGGCCGGGAAGAGAAGTCCTCACAACTTCGAGCTGTGAAAACCAGTGGGGACTGTCCCTGAGAGTCGTGGAGGCTGCAGGAGCCCCAGCAGCTTCTCTTAAAGGGCCCGTGCATAGAGTCACTGGGACGCGCTCCCTCTGAGCCCCAGTGACCAGCAGCTTGAAAGGAACCTGGGACATTCAGGAAGGAACTAACCTGCCTAAAATTGGGGCGAGAGGTGGAGGGGCAGCTTTCTCCCAGGTAGAAGAGCTGGCAGAGGCCATTGCTCCTTTGGCGAGCCCTTCCCGCACAGAGCCGGCAGGCAGACACCATATTTGAGTCTCCAGCACCTGACTCACGCCTTTGGCCCCGCCCTGGTGATTCCCGGAGGCCCTGCCCCTCCCCACCTGCAGGCTCATCCAGGCCATTTCCAGTGGCTTTTCTGTGCAAGTGGCCTCTTGAGCCTCATGCTTAGGACTTTCCTAAAATCTCTCAAACAAGCAGCAGCGGGCCCCATACGGCCTGATAAGTGGCCCCAGGCCTGGCACTAGTAGCAGCCTGCATTGGCTCATAGCTTGGCCTCTCCTGGACACCTCCAAGCCCAGCACAAGTAGCAGCAAACTACGGTTTGCTGTGTAGCTCATGCTGGGTGGCCCTGGGCAAGGCACTGGCAGAGGCTGACTTTGCACCTCCTGGGAGGCCCCAGAGACAGTGCACCTGGTGGTCAGAATCGACCACGCTGGATTACAACCCTACCACAGCCACAAGTGACACACTCAAGGGGTGCACTTGGTGAACACCAGAGCTCCACTGAAGTAAACCCTGCTCCATAGGGGTGTCTACAGCACAGCAGCTCTTTGGATGTAGTTGCAGCTGGTCCTCACAGCCAGTTGGCGTGGGGGTCAGTTCCTCCCAGTGACGCCAACAGCAACCAAGGCTCAACTACAACAGGACAGTGCACACAGCCCANCCCTTCCCGCACAGAGCCGGCAGGCAGACACCATATTTGAGTCTCCAGCACCTGACTCACGCCTTTGGCCCCGCCCTGGTGATTCCCGGAGGCCCTGCCCCTCCCCACCTGCAGGCTCATCCAGGCCATTTCCAGTGGCTTTTCTGTGCAAGTGGCCTCTTGAGCCTCATGCTTAGGACTTTCCTAAAATCTCTCAAACAAGCAGCAGCTGGCCCCATACAGCTTGATAAGTGGCCCCAGGCCTGGCACTAGCGGCAGCCTGCATTGGCTCATAGCTTGGCCTCTCCTGGACACCTCCAAGCCCAGCACAAGTAGCAGCCAACTACGGTTTGCTGTGTAGCTCATGCTGGGTGGCCCTGGGCAAGGCACTGGCACAGGCTGACTTTGCACCTCCCGGGAGGCCCCAGAGACAGTGCACCTGGTGGTCAGACTCGACCACGCTGGATTACAACCCTACCACATCCACGAGTGACACACTCAAGGGGCGCACTTGGTGAACACCAAAGCTCCACTGAAGTAAATCCTGCTCCATAGGGGTGTCTCCAGCACAGCAGCTCTTTGGCTGTAGTTGCAGCTGGTCCTCACAGCTGATTGGCCTGGGGGTCAATTCCTCCCAGTGACGCCAACAGCAACCAAGGCTCAACTACAACAGGACAGTGCACACAGCCCACACAGGGGAGCACCTAGAAGGCCCAGCTCAGGTGACTGGGGAGGCTGAGCCACTGGACCCTACAGGACACCTACTACACAAAGCCACTCTACAAATTCCAGGAGACATAGCAGCTCTACCTAATACATAGAAACAAACACCTGGAAGCAGCCAAAATGTGGAGGCAAAGAAACATGTCACAAAGGAAAGAACAGAAGAAATCTCTAGAAGAGGAACTAAATGAAATAGATCCAAGCAAGCTAACAGATACAGAGTTCAGAATTTTGTTTATAAGGATGTTTAAGCAGACTATTAGGGAAATAACTGAGAAAATCGATAACATAATAAAGTACCAATTTGAAATGAAGGCTACACGAACTGAAATGAAGAATAATTTACAGGGAATCAACAGTAGAGTAGAGGACGCTGAGAATCAAATCAGCAATTTGGAACATGAGGAAACAAAAAACACCCAACCAGAAGAGCAAAAAGAAAAAAGAATCCAGAAATATGAAGATAGTAAAAGGAGCCTCTGGGACAACTTTAAGAAGAGGAAAGAGAGTAAGAAATTAAAAACCTATTTGAAAAAATAATTACAGAAAATTTCCCCTACCTGGGGAA